ACATTTCCAAGTTCCTCCGGGGGGCGCTCCACGAGGTCCGCACGACGAGGACGAGGAAGAGGAACGTGCCGATCCACTTATGGGAGTCAGGCAGCGGCGCCAAGCTAGACGGCGCGGGAGCGTGGGTGAGGCGCTTCACGGCCACGCTGGTCACATGCAAGGAGCTACCGCCCACCGAGTGGTCCGCCACTTCCCACCTGCACCTAAACGAAGATCACGTGATGGCCAAGTTGGCTGAGCCGGACGAGCCGGGCGGCGACCAGAAGAAGTTGTACTCGTGGATCTTGGCGGACATCATGCTGGCGGGGAACGAGTTGACGCACCATCGTGGCAGATCGGTCTGGCCGGGCGGGGTTGTCGCTGTCGGCCTCCAGTGCATGTGGTTCTGCGGCGCCTAGGCCAGCCCTCGCGCGCGCGCGCGAAGCCTGCCCGGACTCGCGGAACTGAGTGCGCGGAGTCTGCCCGCGCTCGCCGCCCCAGGTTTTTTTCAAGTTCGACCGCGGACAGCTCGTCGACGGGCCCGCTCCGCCGCTCGCCGGATCGGCGGCGTCGGTCGCCGCGCCAGCGGCGGCGGAGCCGGCTGCGGAGCCGGGGTGCGACGTCGACGAGGACGAGATGGACGAGCGATTGCCTGGTGGACTGGACGCGGTGCCCGCCAGCCTCCACCCCGGGGAGCGCGCCACCATCTGCGGCCTGACGTCGAGGTGATGGGGCGGGGGGAAGATTGCCCGGGGGCCTCCCGCGACCTTGGAAGATTCCCCGGGTCCCTAGGGGCCCGACACCTTCCAAACGGGACCCCCGGGGGCCCGACACCATGCCGAACGGGGCCCTCCAGGGGCCCGACACCATGCCAAACGGGACACCCCGGGGGCCCGACACCATGCCAAACGGGACCCCCCAGGAGCCCGACACCATGCAAAACGGGACCCCCCGATCGAGGGCCCGACACCGCGCCAAACGGGGCCCACCCGGGGGCCCGACACCATGCCAGACGGGACCCCCCAGGCCCGGGGTCTCCAGGGGCACCTCCTCGCCCGGTCTCCTCGCAGTCTTTTCCTCCGCCCGCGCAGGTGCGAGCTGAATGGGGTCGAGGTCACTTTGGAGGGCCCGCAAGAGTCTGGGCGGTGGCGGGTGCGCATGGCAAACGGTGGAGACGACGCAGTGACAGTCAATGTGTGGCCGCGCAACTTGTGCGCCGTCCCGGCGGCGGCTGGCGACGGCGCCCCAGGGGGCCAGTTGGTGGCCGTCGAGGAGGAGGATGCGTCGCAGGCGGAGAGCCAGGGCGCAGTCGTTCCCGCCGAGGAGGTGCTGCAGGACGAGCGGCGCAGTTTGCGATGGGAGAGCGCCGGCGCCAAGAGGCGCCACGTCGAGGAGTCGGCCCCCGAGAAGATCACTGAGTGGCTCCAGAAGCTGCAGGACCTCCGCGGCTCGCCGTCCTCGAACTGGAACGACGTCTTGTTCAGCGAGTCCACCACCCGCGGGCTGGAGAATTTCGAGGCCCGGGTGGGGGCGCGCCCCCGCTTTCTCTTCGAATTCCTGCGGCGCCCCCCGGTCCCGACGCAAGTCTCCAGGGGGTTTCCGGGGTCGGGCCCGCGTCGGTTCGACCAGTCCGAATCCCACTCGATTCGGGCGATCTCATTCCGAAGTTCAGCCGATCTCGATCCGAGCCCCGTTCGATCTGTGCGTCCGGCAGGCTGCCGTCGAGACCGTGAAACAGGAACTGCGGCACATTGTCGATGACACGAGAACGCCAGAAGAGCTCGCCAGCGACTTGGACTTCGACATGCGCCCTGGTTGCCCCTTGCCCTGGCACGACGCGGTGCTCCGGGTGTGCCGGGCGCAGGGGTACAGCCACGAGTGCTTCAGCGCCCTGTTGGATTCCAACATTGGCTTCGCGGAGAACACGGGGACCACTCTGACCCACCTCGCGGAGTGCGACCACCGGGTGTCCCCGTCGCAGGCGGTCCTGGTGGGGCAGGGCACCAGCATGCGGAAGAGCAATCAGTTGGAGGTGGCTGATGCGTTGGTGCTCGACGCGGCAGGCGCCCCCGATTCTTGGGCGTCCCACGAGGTCTGCATGACGGACGGGACCAAAGTGGGGACGGAACGGACTCTCGAGACGTTCAAGTGCGGGCTCCTGAGCTCCAGCGAGGGGGCAAATACCATTTGGGTCGAGGGCTACAGCTCGAAGGACGCGGGCATCCACTACTTCAGCAAGCAGCGGCTGTGCCAGTGGACACAGTCGGAGGGCATTTCTTCACCTACGGGAAAAGGGCCCATGACCCTCATCAAGAACACGTACAATTTTGGGTGCCGCATCATCACGCAGACGGACACTGCCGAGATCTTGATCAAGCCGAACCACCAGGGCTTCCATAAGCGCTTCGCGCTGGCGTTGACCAGCCAGGACAGGCCCGCGCCCCGGGCTTCCCGGGACTGGGATCGAGAGTGGGGTCGCGAGCATGGCGTCAGAGTTTTCGGGTGCCCCCGCAGGGCCGGAGACCCCCAGGGCTTCTGGCGCTGCCCGGGGCTTCCGGGGGCCCGGAGCGCTCGCATTCTGCGGCAGGTTTCCCGGACACCCCCGGAGCTTCGGGACAGGGGCGTCCCGGGGTATTCCGAATATCCCCGGGGCTTCGGCACGGGGGCCTCCTGGGCTCCTAGGGCCGCCCGGGGATCTGGAGCCCGGAGCACCCGGAGATGTTTCGCAAGGGTCGGCCGATTGGCATTGGGGGCCCGCTTCCCTCGATTCGCCCCCGAGGATTTCGTGCCGCATTCCAGCGGCGAGCCCGACCTGGCGTCGAAGCGGTTCCTCCGCGACTTCTTCGCTTGGATGATGCTGAACTGCGAGCCCCACAAGAGCGACATCGAGCTCGACGAGTTCGCTCTGGCCTTGTACCAGGCAATCGAACAGGCGATCAACAAGTTCGCGGCGGAGAACTCCCTCAACCAGTGGTTCAAGGCGAAGCTGCTCTTCTTTCGCAGCGACCTCATGAGATCGGCCCTATGCTCGATGCGCGTGGTTCAATTTTTAACTGGGCGCGCCCATCCATTGCGGCGGAAAGTGAGCTTCTACGAGTTTGCGGCGGCGCTGCAGCGAGTCGCACGGCAGTGGCGGTTGCACAGCAGCATGTACAAGCAGCTAGCTAAAAAGCACCCCTCGGTTGCAGGCGACGGCCGGAGCGTGGGCGCGGGCAATCCGCTCCCGCCTGACGAAGCCTTGCAATCCGCCCTGATGACCTCCACAGCCGTGGACGGAACCTTCACTTTTTCGGATTTCCGCGCCGCCGTGCGCAACAGGCGCGCGGTCTTGCGCGCCAGCGGCGAGGACACGCTGATGGTGAGGATCACCCGGTGCGTCCAAGCCCTCGTGACCCACGGTTTGCTGACTGAGACGCCAGGCGCCGGGGTCAAGAGCAGGAAGTTCTCGAAAACCCCGCACGCGGAGCACGGCGAGAGCGCGGCGAATTATCGCCGCCAGCTGAAAATCTCCGTTTCGCATTTCCCCGAGCAGGCCGTGCCAGATTTTTTCTGACGGTGGGCGCGGGGGGCGATGATGATGATGATGAGGAGGAGGCGGACCAGAGAGAACCCAGGATGCATCAGCGATGCTGCTATACACCCTCCCGTCCCATCGCGGCGCCTCAGCGAGAGCCCAATTCTGAAAACCACCCGCCCTCGATCCGTGTAGCTGCTGCGAGATTTTATGATTCAGTTTCGTAAATGGTGAGGAAGTTTCAGGCGAAACGCCCAGCCCGCCCGAAACATTCGTCTGGTCCTGCGACAGGGAGGAGTTCTCTATAAGGAGGAGGAGGAGGACGGAGGAGGAGGAGGAGGAGGAGGAGGGAGTGGAGGGAGCCTCGGCCCCCTTCGGGTCTCCGCGCGCAGTGGCCGTCCGCAGCTGCGCGTCGGCGCTGTGCCAGATGCGGGGGCTGTCAGCTCGCGGCATCGACGATGCAGCATTCCCGAGTCTGCTGGAGCACAGATTTCCTCCATGGGGGGGGAAGGAGGGAGAGGTGCAGGAGGAGGAGGTGCAGGAGGAGGACACGGCATCGACGACACGGCATCGTCGTTTGCCCAGCGCTTGCCTTTCAGTTTTCGGTGGAGGTGGATGGGTGCCACTCCCGTTGGGTTCTGCCCTGGCTTACCCGTGCTAGTCCAGAATGGCCGCCGTGGGACGCGAGAGCGGGGATAGGGAAGGAGTTTCAATTAATTAAAGCTTCGCAGGGGGCGCGGCAATCTCTGCGCGCGGCAGGGGGACTTTCAGGCCTGAAAGTCGTGCGCGTGCGTGTTTTGGAAGGCGGGGGCTGTCAGCTCGCGGCTGCGCCGAGCAGCCGGGCCTTCCGACCCATCGGCTCGGGCAACGCCCACTGCGTCGGGCCCGCGACGCAGACAGAAAATGTTGACCTGCATCGGGGTCCCTTGGAGCACTCCGGGGGCGCTTTTCGTCTGGGGACCCCTCTGCTTCGTGGGGCGGCGAATTCGGGGGAATCTCTGCGTCGTCGTCGTCGTCGTCGTCGTCGTTGCCGTCGTGGTCGTCGTCGCCGCCGCCTCGGCGAATCGGGCACCCCTAGAGCGCCCTCGGCGAGGCGCACGTGCTGGGTAGCACCCGCCGCCGCCGCAGCAACCGTCGTCGTCTTCGGCCGGGCGTCGTCGTCGTTGTCACCGTCGCCGCGGCCGTCGTCGTCGTCGGCCGGGCGTCGTCGTCGTCGTCGTCGTCGTCGTCGTCGTCGTCGTCGGCCTCGTCAGCCTCGTCGTCGTCGTCGTCGTCGTCGTCGTCGTCGTCGTCGTCTGGTGGTTGTCGGGCCGGAATATTTCAGGCCTTCGACGACCGTTCGGGACGAATGGGTAACCCTGGGGGCGCCGTCGGCGACACGCTGCTGCCCGATAGCATCACGAGGGGCTGCCGCTGTCGTCGCCGTCGTCGTCGTCGTCGCTATCGTCGTCGTCGTCGTCGTCGTCGGCTGGGCGGCGCCCGAGGCGGCAGCAGCTGGGCCTGCAGCCGCCTGGGCCGCCAGCCGCTCGCAGGCGCGGCGGCCCGTGCTCCGGCCATCTTCGCCGCCGTCGTCGTCGTCGCCTCGGGGAGATCGGGGGGGGTTCTTCGCTTTCCGCCTCCCGAGGCCGTTCTCGCGTCCCGGGTGAATCAGAAATCTATCCGGGACGAAAAATTGTGCGGAGGGACCCCAGGATGTCGCGTCGCCGCCGCCGCTGCCGTGGCGAGGACCGGGGTTCGAGGATCGAGGTTCGAGGCTCGAGGAACGAGGTTCGAGGACCGAGGATTTTGGACGCTCTCGGCCCCTCTTGAGCCTCAAGGGGCCACGTCCGAGGCGGACGCCCCGGGCAGACGTGCGGCCGCCGCCGTCTCCGTCGCCGCCGTCGCCGTCGTCGTCGCCGCCGCCGCCGCCGTCGTCGTCGTCGCCGCCGCCGCCGCCGTCGTCATCGCCGTGCGAGTTTCGAACTTCGAGGTTAGTTTTTTTTTGTTTTTTTTCGTCGCCTTCGGCCTCCGGGGGCCGTTCTCGGGCCCCAGGACAATCAAACATCGACGCCAAAACGGGAACCTGGGAGAGATCCGGGGACCCTCTCGGGTACTTCCTTCGCCCTCTCGAGATCTGGAGTGTCCATGGCCCTCTCGAGTACTTGGCATTATCCAGTATTTCCTTGGCCCTCTTCGTCTTCGCTGCTTCCCATTTCGGACCTGGGACGAGGTTCGAAATTCGGACCTCGAGGATGAGGGTTCTTTCCAGCGAGTGGCCACCGAGGTCCTTCCTCCTGCCCCCTCCTTCCCCCCCCTCCCCCTTTCGACGGTCCCTCTCGGGCCTCCGGGGGCCGCGCCAGAGGCGCGGCCGAGGGGAAAAGGGGGAAGGGGGAGGAGGAAAAGGAACAGGGGGAGGTGGAGGAGGAGGAGGAGGAGGGCGATGGAAGAGGAGGGCGTTATTTAGCTCGGCACCATCGGAAGCTCGACCGTGGGGGGGCCAGGGGGGCCGCCGGACTCTGGAAGCAATGGAAGTACGTTCACGTCCAAGTTCGAAGTTCGGACCTCAAGGATGAGGGTTCGACGCGTCGTCTTCGGGGGTCCTCCCCGTCGCCACGGCCGGGCGCGGCTTGGAACACAGGTGCGCTCGGACCCCCGGAGCAGTCCGGGGAGGCCCCCGGAGACCCTACGCCGTGCGAAAACTGCTGCACCTAGCATTCTTTGAGTGCGGCAATATTGTTTATCACTGTCGCCGTTTGGGCTTGGGAGCAGCAGCCATGGTTCAAAAGGCATGGCCGGGTGCAGGCTCGCGGAAGCCTGGTTGGAAACACATCCAGGCATCTCTGAAGGCGCAGGCTGACGGCCCTTCGCCGCCGCGCAAGCGCGCGAAGCGGGAGCCGGAAGCGCTGGCCGTGGCACTGGCCAAGGCGCCGGCCGAGGCGCCGGCCGAAGCGCCGCCCGCGGGCGGGCTGGGGCGCCGGCCGAGGCGCCTGCCGAGGCGCGGCCCGGCCGTGGCGCTGGCCGAGGCGCCGGCCGAGGCGCCGGTCGCGGCGCCGGCCGAGGCGCTGGTCGCGGCGCTGGCCGAGGCGCCGGTCGCGGCGCCGGCCGAGGCGCCGGTCGCGGCGCCGGCCGAGGCGCTGGTCGCGGCGCCGGCCGAGGCGCCGGTCGAGGCCCCCGAAAACCTGCTCCGGGAGGTTTCGTTTGGCATGGTGTCGGGCCCTCCGGGGCCTCTCCCGGAATGTCCCGTGAGGCATGGTGTCGGTTCCACGGGCGCTTCCCGGGACGTCCTGTTTGGCAGGGTTCCTTTTCGGTGCCGGGCCGCCGGGCCCCCGAAAATCAGCCCCGGGAGGTCCCGTTTGGCATGGTGTCGGGCCCCCTGGAGCTTCTCGGGAGGTCCCGTTTGGCATGGTGTCGGGCCTGGGTGCCTCCCCCGGAAGTTCCGTTTGGCATGGTGTCAGGCCCCCCAAAAATTCGTCCCCGGAGGTCCCGTTCGACATGGTGTCGGGCCCCCGAAAACCCGCCCCACCCAGGAGGTCCCGTTCGGCATGGTGTCGGGCCCCCGGGGGCTTCTCGGGAGGTCCCGTTTGGCGCGGGGTCGGACCCATGGGCGCCTCCCCCAGAGATCCCGTTTGGCATGGTGTCAGGCTCCCCGAACCCGCCCCATTCGGCATGGTGTCGGGCCCCGGAAAAACTTGCCCTGGGAGGTCCCGTTTGGCATGGTGTCGGGTGTCGGGCCCCCGGGGGCTTCTCGGGAGGTCCCGTATGGCACGGTGTCGGGTTCCCGGGGGCTTCTCCCAGGAGGTCCCGTGAGGCATGGTGTGGGGCATCCCCGGCCGGGAGGTCCCGACGCCATGCCGAACGGAACCTCCGGAGGCCGTCGCCGCCGAACAACCAGCTGCCGCAGGGCCCGCGCGCAACCGGCGGGGGCGGAAACGCCGTGCCCCGGCTTGTTCCGCGCCTGCGCCCAGCCTGGAGGATGCGGAGGCGCTTGCCGTTTCGCAATCGCGGGCGAGCTCGTCCCGGGCGACAGCGGCAAGGTCTGCGCCAGCGGCGGTTCGCATGGCGCTGCGGCTGAAGGCGGGCCGCACTGCTGCCGCGTTGCGTCGCTTGCAGAACTTCGACTTGCTGCGTTGCGACCACGTCGCCCACGCGCCCCCCCCCGTGGCTGTTGGATTGGCCGCCGTCTGGGACGGCGCGGAGGTCTTGGTGCTGGACACGTTCACTTTCCGAGGCAAGCTGCGCTGCGACGTCGCCCACGTGGAGCCCGCCACCAAGAGAGAGGCGTCGAGCGGGCCCACGGAAACAACCGCACGAGTCCCCCCCTGACCCGCCCGCTCCCTGAGCGCGGATGGGCAAGAGGGGTGGTTCCTTGCAGTGGCCGGCCGGCGCGAAGGACACGGTGTCGGGTACCCGAAAATCTGCTTCGGGACGCCCCGTTTGGCATGGTGTCGGGCCCCCGGGGGCATCCCCGGGAGGTCCCGTTTGGCATGGTGTCGGGCCCCCGAGAAATCGACCCGGGAGGCCCCGTCGGGCATGGTGTCGGTCACCGCACCCTTCTACACCACACCCCTTTCCGAGTTCCAAACCTGCTGCAGGCGCCCGCGGACGCCACGCACGTGCTCCGGACGCGCGTCGTGGGCGGCGCCCTCGCGACCTGCGACGCGTCCGATCTGCAGGATATCGGCCGCCGGTGGCGTTGCGTTGGCGTGGCCGCCCTGGCGTATGAAACGCTCCATCCTGTTCGCCCGGCCCCGGCAATCCCTGAACAGCGCATCATTCGGCATTATTTTTCCAGTGCGCCCAGCGCCCATGCGGAGTGATGCGGCTCGACGGGGAGGCCGGAGAGTCGCGGCTTCTGGGGGCGCTTCCATCCGCCGAAAGGTACGCGGCGTTCCGTGGATGGCGCCCGCGACCTCGGGCGCGGGGCCGACAGTGCCCGAACAGCACGCTTTGGCAGATTTCGGCCAGGCGGCGGCTGCGGGGAGGTGCGAAATTCCGGCCTCCAGACGCCCCCAGGCGCCAGTCCTCGTTCGGCCGATGTCGGCCGACGCGCACTGCGCCGAACATCGCCACAGAGTAGTCCAGAGGTGCGCTCGCCCCGATTCCGTGCAGTGCGGCCAGTCGCGGTTCGTTTGGGATTTCCCCTGGCCAATTCAGCTGGACCGGCGGCCGCGGGAGTGCCTGAATTGTAAGACGATGCGCGCCCGAGGCGCCGATGATTCTTACCGCCGTAGTTTTCCCGTGACGGATTCCGACGTGGTGCGCCGCGTCCCCGACGCCGTGCTCGTCCGCCCGGATTCGGACGAGTCCAAGGAAGGGCCCTGTTATCCCCCCGCCTGATGGCAGCCGCCGGCCCGAATTTGCTCGCCACGCGTGCGCGGGTAGGTAACGGCAGGGAGATGGCGTCGCAGGATTGGGAGCGACCTGCGTAAACCCGCCTCTGCCCCCATGGGGTTAGCGGTCCTCACCGGCAGATTTCTTCTTCGGTTTTTGTTGGTCCTGCAGGAGACTTTCAGCCTTGGTGAGTGCCGCCGCAAGCTGCTGAAGGAGTACTTCGCGGTCGCCACGGGGGCAGACGACGCCCGCGCGGCCAGGGCGCTGGTCGGCAACGTCGCCCATTTCTTCCCCAGGCGGAAGCTCTTGAGGACGATTGCGATGCGAGCTTTTCCCGGCCCAGTCTCCCGCAGGGTGTCCACCCTCGTGGCCATGCAGGCGGTGTACAACGGCTCGGGGATCCGGATTGATGGGAACTACAAACTGGCGAAGAAAATTTCGGCACAGATGGGGCAGAGGAAGCAGATGCCGTTCAGCTGCGTCCTGGGGATCTGCGGCACCGACGGCTCGCCGCTGCAACCGGTCACGCCCGTCCGCGGAGAAACGCGGGCGGACATCCGGAAGGCATCCCGGGCCTGGGCGGCAGGAAATGAATCACCCCCCCCTCTCCTCCCAGGGCGCACCTGGCGCCCCCCGACGGCAATTCATGGTTGCAGTTTTCTTTCGAAAGCCCAGGAAAGGAAGGGGATGGGGAAGGGGGGAAAAGGGGCCGCGCCCCGCCCGGGCCCGAGGTTCTGTTCCCGCTCCTGTCCAGCATCGTCCATGAGCGGCAGACGGCGGGCCTCTCGCTCGAGGAGGCGTGCCCAGCTTTCGTAAGCACGGACACGTACCACAAGCACTACAGGAAGTACAGGGCGCTGGCAGACGAGATTGCGCAGCTCAGCCGCCTGCGCGTCCGTGGCCAGACGCCCCGCGGCCAGGTCGCCTCCTGCAGTGTCTCCAACCCCGCTTTCGAAATCTTGGTGGCCGGCGAACCTTTCCACGACGTCCTCAACGCCCGGAGGTGCGTGGGCCCGCAGGCGAATGACAGTTCTGATTTCTGTTTCGACCACGCGGACATGCTCGGGCGCCTCAACGCCCCCGCCCCGCCCGCGCGACCGCAGGGGGAAGCCGCCCCCCCCGCGCTCGGAGATGCTGGGAGGGCCCTGCTCCGCGCAGCGGTCACCCAGTCCGCGGGTGGCTTTGCTGCGACGCTGGCGCGCGACCCGGTCGCCTCGGTCGAGTTGCGCGCTTTCCTGGCGTCGCCCGGCGTTCGCAAGGCCAAGGTGTTGTGGCAGGCCGTCGGGGCAAATTGCGACGCTCCCCTCTGATTCCCGGGACCCCCGCCTCCCAGCCCCCCGTCTTCGTAAAGCCCGCCCGCAGTAACCGAGCGGGGGCGTCCTTGCGGTCTCGGGGCCATCCTTCGGGGGAGAGCCTTGAAATCCGATCTCGGGTTCTTCCTCTTGGAACGTTTTTGGGGGCCTCTAGAGCCCGCTGAGGACCGTCCTGCTAGCTCCTCGGGCGGACTTGGGGCGATATGGGCACGTGCATCCGTGCGTGGGGATTGCCGGGGCGAAAGGTTTTAGTGCCCCCCCGAAACCAGAATTTTATTATTCCCAGGGTGCACGTCTCAGGGGCACTCGGTTACTGGCGGCCCTGGTCATGGGGGGGCCGAGCGGGCGCGGGTATCCTGCCCCGCCGCCGCAGGGCATGTTCGGCGCGCAGCCGCCGCGGCCCGTGCTCGCACGGCTGGCTCGACGCGCGGGCGCCCAGTTGCACCCGAGCCTCGGCTGGTGCAATTACCGAAGCCGCAAAGCGTTCAAGGCCGAGGTCCGCAGGATGCGACAGTGGTACTCGAAGCCGAGGCGACTCGCGCGCCGCCGGCGTGGGATCCTCCGCGTCGGCCCCGCAGCTCCCGAGAGCGTCCGGGGGCGGCAGTGCGCATTTAACGGCAAGCTAAAATCAGGATGGCTCCGCCTCGCCGCCAACGCCCCAGGCCCGCGCGAAAGCGACGCGGTGCCAGCGCAAGGGGGTCTGCCAATGCCCGCGGAGGCTCTGCAGAGGGCCCGTGCGGTTCGCATTGCAGTAGGCTTTTGAAGAAGCTGCGACTCGACGGGCTGCTCGCTTGGCAGCGTTGCGCGGAGAGCTTGCGCCTGGCGGGGATGGGCCCGCGATCTGGCACGGTGCCCGTGGAGACGATGTGGTCCATTCAAGCATCGTATTGGCCCGAGCGCACTAAAAATGTGTCAATCGAGCTTTTCCAACTGTTCGCGAACTTATCGAACATCCTTCGGCCTATCCGACCACCTTGCCTGTGTTGTGGGTCAGAGCCCCCAGAGATGCTTCTTGGGGTATATTCGGAGCGCTCTCGGCCTCTCTGGAGGGCAGTGCTGCAGCCTCTGGGGAGCTCCTTGGGGCTTCCTGGGGGCCTCTTGGGGGCATCTTGGGGCTTATTGGGGGCTTCCTGGGGGCATCTGTGGGCCGAGTGCACGACGTGTCCGTTCGGGCCCCCCGGGCCCCCTCTCGGGGCCGTCTCGGAGGCCTCTTGGGCCAGCTTGGAGGCCTCTTCAACCGACTTAGGCCATCTGGGGCCATTGTGGGGGCCCCATGGGAAGCCTCTTGACCCGTGTTGGGGCGATCTCGAAGGCGGCGATCTTGGGCGTTTGCGACCGATCGTTCGAAGACTCGGGGCCCTCTTGGACCGTCTTGGGGGCTTTCCGGGGCCCTTTCGGCCCATCTTGGAGCTCTCTTGGCGCCCCGAATGCACGCGGGACAAACCCCAACAGCGCGCCAGAGCGCCCAGGAGCGCCTACGAAACCGAAGGTCCGGGCCCTGAAGTACCTCACATCCTGGGGCCCTCCACAGCGTGCAGAAGGCACGGTGGCGGATCTTTCTTGCGATGCCTGCGGTCTCATTTCAATCGCGCCGACCTCCCGCCTTGGGCGGAGAGCGATTTGCTGTGCCCTTTGCCTGCGGCGCCCCCGCCGTCTCCCTTGTCTGGCACGGACACTCCAGATAGACGATCATAAATGAGACCGCGCGCGTTCGCGGCGAGCGGGGGCAGTGGAAGATGGGGGGAGGATGGCGAGGGAACAGGAGGGGGGAAAGGAGAGGCAGGAGGAGGTACCGGAAAGAGGGGAGGAGGAGGAGGAGGAGGAGGAGGAGGAGGAGGAAGAGGAGGAGGAGGGGGAAGAGGAGGAGAAAGATAATCCCAAAGAGGCCGATGGGGGAGGCGCCGACGGGCGCTTCGTGGAGGCCTCGCGGATATTTCGACAGCGTTCAGCGGGCCCTCCAGTTGCTATCTGACGAGGCCCCGCCGTTGCAAAGGGAGCTCGTGGAGGAATGCCGAGCGCCGGGCCAGGGACCTCCGGGCGCGCATCTCGATTCTCGTTGCCCCGCTTCCGCTAGCACTGGGTAGACCCAGCCAGGCAGGGGTCCGGAGAACCATTTTGAACAGGCCAGGCGCTCCTTGAGGCGCACCACAGGGAGGGGGCGGATGAGGTGGAAGACGATCAGGGGAGAAGGAAGAGGCAGAGGAGGAGGAGGAGGAGGAGGGGGAGGAGGAGGAGCAGGAGCAGGAACGGAGGAGGAGGAGGAGGAGGAGGAGGAGGAGGAGGAGGAGGAGGAGGAGGAGGAGGAGAGGGGGCAGAAGAGGAGGAGGAGGAGGAGGAGGAGGAAGAGGAGGAGGAGCAGCAGCAGCAGCAGGAGCAGGAGAAGGAGCAGGATGCGCAGAGGGGCCTTCCCCCCGTGGGCGCAACGCCACCGCGGGCCACGCTCCCGTAGGCGCGCCCAGGGGAGGGGACGGACGAAGCGGAGGAGGAGGAGGAGGAGGAGGAGGAGGAGGAGGAAGAGAGGAGGAGGAGGAGGAGGAGGAGGAGGAACAGGAACAGGAACAGGAGTTCCGCAGGAGCAGGAGCAGGAGCAGGATGTGCCAAGAGGCCTGGCCACTCGTGGGCGCAACGCCGCCACGCAGTTCTGCGCTCCGCCGCCCGCTGGCTTCAGCGTTTCTCCTCATAAGTCCTGCTCCCTCTTTCTCCCCCCTCCTCGGTCTAGGGCCCCCGCAGGCTTCCCGGGACGTTTTGTTTCTGTCCTCCTCGATCCTGCCCCCCCCCCCTTCCCCCCGCTCACGAAAGAGTACATATTGCAGGCGACGTTGCCGACAATAACCATTCGTGTCTCGACCTGGCAGGCTGTCTGACGCGTGCAATTCGTGCATGCCTGTTGTGGGCTATGGAATTTTGTTGCCAGCGCGCAGGGCGCGATGCTGGCCAGGTCATTGCCCAGAACGAGGGAGGCTTCGAGAGCTTTCGGGCGCGTGGACGTGCCCCGCTCGATTGCTGCGCCGTGTACGTGTAATCGTGGTTGCGAGGGGGCGTGCCAGGCAGGACTCTTCCCGGTGCCCCCGAGAGGGGGTTCAGTTTTCTGCCCGCGGACGGTTTCTGCACCGAGGGCCGACATACAATCTCGAGACGGTGATGGAGTCACTGTCGCTGTGTAGAGCCCCCTGCTCGGGAACGACGTCTCTTTTCGTCTCTGGAGCCCTCGGCCCGACCGCAAGAGAAAAAACGGCCTCGAGTAAAAAACGACGTCTTGATGGTTTCCATACAGAGTTTCCAGAGCTCACGACCCCATACTTGGGATCAACGTTTCGCGCCGTATCGTTCTTCTCACGTTCCTGGAGACCGAACGCGGCCCCCGGAGGCAGAAAACGGCAAGCAATAATCCATTTCAAGACGTCGGAGGGGTTGCGAATCGGCCTAAAACTCCAGGCATTTACCCCCGGGTTTTTCAAATTTGCCCCTGGACCTCTCCAGGGGTGCATTCCGATTGGAATTTCGACTCGGCTCCATCCGCGGTGACGATAGGCCTCCTGGATCTTCGACCCTTGGCGACTCGGCGCGCCAAGGGGGGAGGACGAGGAGGAGGAGGAGGAGGAGGAGGAGGAGGAGGACGACGACGACGACGACGACGACGACGACGGCGGCGGCGGCGGCGGCGGCCGCGGCGGCGGCGACGACGACGACGACGACGATGGCGACGGCGACGACGGCGACTGCGACTGCGACGGCGACGGCGTCGGCGACGGCGACGGCGACGGCGACCGGGCCAGACGCCGCCCCGCGGGGTGCGAAGCCCACCGCCAGCGGGCGCGGGGACGACAGGCCTCCCAGATCCTCGGTCCTGGATCCTCCGAGCCGCACCCCGATGCTTGGGGCTGGTCCTGGACCCAGGACGCGCCTGGCTAGGGGCCGTGTGCTCCGAGACCACAGATCCGCTCGCATCGGGTCCCCGGACTTCTCCTGGGAACAGATGCGCCAGTTTCTCGAGCCGCGTGCAGCCGCGGCGACGGGATGACCCTCCGAGGGCCGCAAGCCTCGCTCTCGACGTGGACGTCGCCAGACGGCGACGGCGACGACGACGACGACGACGACGACGACGACGGCGACGGCGACGGCGACGGCGACGGCGACCGGGCCAGGCGCCGCCCCTCGGGGCGCGGAGCCAGCCCCTGGCGGCGCGGCTGCTGCGCAGCCGAGGAGGAGGAGGAGGAGGAGGAGGAGGAGGAGGAGGAGGAGGAGGAGGAGGAGGAGGAGGAGGAGGATGGGAGGAGGAGGAGGAGGAGGAAGAGGAGGAGGAGGAGGAGGGAGGAGGAGGAGCAGGACCAGGGGGAAATGATGCATCAGCGATGCTGCTATACGCTCTCCCGTTCCATGTCCCCTCTGATAAGTCAATACAGGTATTCCCTTTCACACCTGGGCGCGCGCCCTTGAAAGACAGGCTCCCCGTTGGCCTGACAGGCGCCCCATGGGCCTGACATGCGAGAACCCCATTTTGAAAACCACCCGCCCTCCATCCGTGTAACTGATGCCCGCGGCGCCGCAGCGAGAGCCCCATTTTGAAAACGGCCTGCCCTCCATCCGTGTAATTGTTGCAAAGTTGAAGACGAATGTGCGCGGCGCCGGGGCGGGAACCCCATTTTGAAAAGGGAGCGCCCTCGATCCGTGTCATTGTCGCAAAATTTTCAGACGAATGTGCGCGGCACCAGGGCGAGAGCCCCATTTTGGAAAGGAACCGCCCTCAGGGGCGTTCCTCGGGAGGTCCCGTTCGGCGTGGTGTCGGGGCCCCCGAAGACTTGCCCGGGAGGTCCCGTTTGGCATGGTGTCGGGCCTCCGGGGGCATCCCCGGGGGGTCCCGTCTGGCATGGTGTCGGGCCCCGCGGGCCTGCCCCGGGAGGTCCCCTCTGGCATGGTGTCGGGCCCCTGGGGGTCCTGGGAAGTCTTGTTTTTGGCATGGTGTCGGGCCCCCGGGGGCCTCCCCTTCGCATGGTGTCGGGCCCCCGAACATCTGCCCCAGGAGGTCCCGTTTGGCATGGTGTCGGGCCCCCGAAGCCCCGCCCCAGAACGTCCCGTTCGGCATGGTGTCGACTTGCGGGAAGTTTTGTTTTTTGGCATGGTGTCGGGCCCCCGGGGGCCCCCGGGGGCTCCCCCGGGGGGTTCCGTTTGGCATGGTGTCGGGCCCCCGAAGACCTGCCCCAGGAGGTCCCGTCTGGCATGGTGTCGGGCCCCGAAGGCTTGCCCCGGGAGGTCCCCTTTGGCATGGTGTCGGGCCCCTGGGGGTCCCGGGAAGTTTTGTTTTTGGCATGGTGTCGGGCCCCCGGGGGCCTCCCCGGGAGATTCCGTTCGGCATGGTGTCGGGCCCCCGAAGACCTGCCCCAGGAGGTCCCGTTCGGCATGGTGTCGGGCCCCCGAAGCCCCGCCCCGGAACGTCCCGTTCGGCATGGTGTCGGGTTGCGGGAAGTTTTCTTTTTTGGCATGGTGTCGGGCCCCCGGGGGCCTCCCCGGGAGGTTCCGTTGGGCATGGCGTCGGGCCCCCAAAGACCTGCCCCAGGAGGTCGGGCCCCCGAAGCCCCGCCCCGGAACGTCCCATTTGGCATGGTGTCGGGTCCCCGGGGGCTTCCCCAGGAGGTGCTGTTTGGCATGGTGTCGGGCCCCCACGGGCCTCCCCCGGGAGGTCCCGTTTGGCGTGGTGTCGGGCCCCGGGGGGCCTCTTGAAGCTCCGGAAGCTCCTGAAGCTCCTGAAGCTCCCGAAGCTCCTGAAGCTCTTGAAGCTCCTGAACCTCCTGAAGCTCCCGAAGCTCCTGAGGCTCCTGAAGCTCCTGAAGCTCCTGAAGCTCCGGAGCGTCAGAAACGTCAGAAGCGTCGGATGCGCTGGGGGCCCGGGATCCAGGAGCGTCAGAGGCGTCAGGAGCGTCAGGAGCGTCAGGAGCGTCAGAAGCGTCGGAGGGTTGACGGCGCCGCCTGCCCCATCAATCAGGTTTTCGCAGCGGCCCCCGGCAGACCACCACAATGGAGAGATCAGCGCGCGGAGCGTCGACGACTGCTGGAAGAGCGGGCGCGCCTTCGCGAAGGCAGATCGGCGCGTGCAGAAGTTGAGCTGCTAAGAGTGGAGGAGCAGCTGAAGCACGTGTCCCGTGCACTTGAACGCGAACGCTGGCGAGCGCAGAATCACCAGATTGAGAGCTGCATCGAGCAGATCAGCGAGATGTGGGACCAGCAGAAGACGGCAGAGGCAGCAGCGCTGTGTCGGAGAGTGGCGAGGTGCCGCTCCGCCCTGAAGAAGAGGGACGGCAGCCGCCTGGGCCCCGCCCCGCTCACCGAGCAGCAGTGGCTGGACGTCTGGCATCTGGGCGGCGCCGAAAGACTGGTCTACTCTGTAAGAACGGTTTTTTGAAGGCAGATCTGCCTTCAAAAAACCGTTCTTACAGAGTAGACCATTTTTTGAAGGCAGATCTGCCTTCAAAAAACCGTTCTTACAGAGTAGACCATTTTTTGAAGGCAGATCTGCCTTCAAAAAACCGTTCTTACAGAGTAGACCATTTTTTGAAGGCAGATCTGCCTTCAAAAAACCGTTCTTACAGAGTAGACCAGTCTTTCCTCCTTGCATGAGAGCCCGCGAGGTGGAATGGCAGGGTTGGAACGCGGAAAGGCGAGCTTTACACAAACTGCGAGGTCATGGCGGTCATGACGGTCATGACCTTGACCATCTCATGGTCACGCGCTGCCCGTTGACTGCCCCTTGGGCCCTGGAGGTGGCAGAGGCAGATAGGCCTTGCAGCACTACGCCAGGAAAAGCACAAAGCGCAAGGTGGTCCCCACTCGCACGGCCCCGATGGGGCTGTGGGACGTGCGCCTGTCCACGGAAGGTGGCTTGGACAAGCTCCAGGCAGGTGTAGGATTCGAGGCCGATCCCCCGAAGGTGCACAATTTTGACTGCGCCCTGGGGTTCGGCCTTGGGCTTGCGAGAACGAAGCAGCAGGCCCCCTTGCATGGGCATGGGAGTATGGGAATTGGTTTATTCAAGAACAACAAGGAGGGGGCCCGCGGCAGGAGAGTGGTCCATAGCCTGCCCGCGATGGGCAAGGAATACTACGCCAAGCGTTTGAGCCCCTCGTACGCGGCCCAAGACCTCCCCGTGGGCCAGGAGGGTGGTCGACGACCTGGAGCACGTGGCCCCCAGGATGGACGAGGAGCAGGAGACTTTGGAGGAGATCGCGAAGTCGTTTGGCAGCCTGTTCGAGGAGTGCCCGCTTTGACTTCGCGAGAGTACGACAGGCGGCATATAGCGCGGCTATCCCACCTTCTGTGTTTCATGGCGGCGATGACCTTGACACTGCTCCTTGTCAGGCGCCGGGCGGACGTGACTTTGGCCCTGCTCATGGTCAGGGGCTTCCCTTGGCATGTGAGGTATGCGGCGCTGGTTTCGATTCTGCGAAAAGCCTGATGAATCATCTGCGTCATCGTCATCATGTGCGTTATTGATGTTCCGTCACCACCGTGAACGACCAATGCACTTGTTGCAATCTAGTGTTCTGGAACCATCGAACAGCACATTGGCATCTCCTAGCAGCCATCCGAAAAAGGCCGTTGCCCGAGCAGAGGACCACAAACCTTCAAGCATATGTATCCCGCAAGGTCCATGACATGCCCGTTATGCGACTTTGAAACCGTTGATCCCGAACAGTTCCGCAGCCATTTCCAGGCACATCTGTCTTCGTGCTAGGTCCGTCCGGGCCCCGACTGAGACCCCGCGGCGATGGCCGACGCGGCGCTGCCTGCGTGGATGGCTGGGACCCAAGGGTCGGCAAGGGCCCCTCCTGCCAGGCGCAAGCGGGGCGCGGCTACGACGAGCAGGACGCCGAGGGCGAGCTCCTACAGACCTCCGCCAAGCTGGCACTCTGCGTGTCCAGGCAGCAGGCGATCATCGCGGGAGTGGTATTCAAGACCTACTTCGCGCCCGTCGCCGGCGATGGCTTGGGCGCCCTGCGCGCAAAGATCGGCTCCGACTACGACGTGGAGGCGAAGGCCCTCGAAGACAAGCAACAAGGCGGAGAGCAGGTGGACTTCAAGGCGCATGCCACATCCAGGTGTTCGTGCAGACGATGGTGCCCGGGGTGCAGATGACGGCCCCGAACGGGGCCAAAGCGCAGCCTGAGGTGCCCAACGTGCTTCGCACCTAGTTCCAGCAACACATCCACGAGAAGAAGCCCGACTACATCATGCTGGACGCGTTCCACTTTCAGTGCGCGAAGGCCAAGCGGGGGGCAGCCGAGCGGAGGCTGATCACGGCCTTCGACCTTTCCCGCCCGTCGGCGGCGGCAATGTGGCCATCCTTGGAGAAGTACCTCCTGGAGGCGGAGCAGGTGGAGTGGGTGCCGGGGGCTGCGCCTCGGGGACTTGTCGAAAGGCATGCTGGCGATCTCGCCTTCAGGTTGTAGCGCCAAGCGGCAGTGAGAGGCTGAGATCGCGGATTGCACGAGGACTGGTGCCACCAGACGTGTTGGAGAGCGGTCGCCTCTTGAGCCATAGCTCGGCTGCGCTGCCCCGCATGCCGCCCGTGGAGCTGCGAAGGCATCCCCCCAGCAAAGGCCGCGGGAAGGGGAGGGGCGGGGCGCTGAGTGGGAGGGGGCGGGGCGGAAACAGCAGTAGCCAGGCAGTTTTTGAGCAGCGCTCAGAGCCCGTGGGGGTGGGGCCCCAGGCGTCAGAGTCTAGCCCTATCCAGCGTCCTGACGGCCTTGACCGTGAGATTGCTCATGGTCAGGAGTTTGCCTCAGAGAGTAGCGTGCCTAGAGGGAGGGGGGCGTGTCGTGGTCGCGGTCGCCAGGGGCGGGGGGAGGAGAATTTAGGTGTGTGTGTGTGTGTGTGTGCATCGGTTCCCTTGGGTCAGAGCCCTTCTCACGGTGCACGTAGCGGCGCTATGGGGGCGCTTCGCGGGGCAGCGCGGGCGCTTCGCCCTACAGGGGGGCCGCCAATTAAACCAACGCGTTCGTTTTCACCGCTCTGTGATGCTTAGCTTCCAACTTTTCATTCCCAGGCCTTTCAAGAGCTCCCGAATGCAAGCGAATACCAGCGCTGCCGCAAACTGATTCTGATTATGATTATCCTCCTCCTCCTCCTCCTCCTCGTCCTCCTGCTAAGCTGCCATTTCGCCCAATTAGCAATTCAGGCAGCTTCAGAAAGTCACCCCCCCCCAACGACATAGCACTAGTTGTTATTATGTTGTCGCAATGAGGGTGCTGGCTTGCTTCGTCATGCCGTGGACCACCTCCCTCTCGCTCCTGCAGTACAACCCCCTATGCTGCCGCCAGGATCGCCTGAGCGAAATCATTACAGAGGGCAGCAACTTCGACGTGATAGCACTCACAGGGACCCAGAGGAAAAGGAATGGAGTGGAGGTTACGCAGGGACGATCGGAGGACGCACAGTACGTGGACGCGGGCTGGGGGGATACACAGTACAGCAATAAATCGGCAGGAATACTCGTGGCGTGGAGGGGATATCTCAGTGGAGCTCTATTGGTAGACATCGAGGAGCCTCATGGGGACCTACTAGGACGGGGCCTCTGCGTCACTCTGAAGATGCCGCAGCACTACGTGAAGATAATCGCCATCTACTGCCCGCCCCAGCCCAAAACGAGCGCCTCACGCAGAGAATATCATCATATTGTCAAACAGCTGTCAACATGGACTAACAGAATGCTAAGAAATCGCAAGGCCAACACTATCGCATTCGTGGCGGGGGACCTTGACGACGGAGTAGGGGCCAACGCGAAGGGGGACCGCATCGAAAGTACAGCCACGGGCCCAGGGACCTCGAAAGAACGACTTCCAGGGGGAGCGGGTGAACTATTTCGGAAGACGGCAGAGGAAGCTAACATGACCATCACGAATACACTGGGATCCTGGAGACCGACATTTTTCGGAGAGAAAGGAGCATCAAGTATTGATTTTATTATGGCGCCCTCGGAACTTTGCTCAAGCATGTATTCGCACGGGCCACTCATGCGAATGGGCAGTCGGCTACAGCACATTCCTTGTCGAGCACATAAGGATCATGTACCAGTGCACGCAGTCTTTCACATGCGCACACGCATCGGCTTTCCACAAAGACTCAAACCAGCACGATGGGACCGAGATGCACTTGCCAGAGCGATCACACACAACATCGGGCGCAAAGATTTCGTGGAGGCCTTGAATACCCGAATCAAGTTAGAGGAAACGTTACATGAGGAGCAGAACGTGGATAAGTTTTTCCAGAAAATGAACGAGGTCATGTTTGAGGTTGCCCAACAGTATTTCTCAGATAAGGGAGTCCGAGATCATACTTACGAATATATACGAACAGAGCGTATGCGACTACTTCGAGAACGTCGAGAACTTAGAGAACAGCTACACGTGCACACACAGAACCAGTTCACGCCCACAGTGGATGGGACTACCGGCAGAGAGACTACTGATACGGTGTACCCGAGTGAGACACAGCACGCCACACCAGATTACGACCAGAACGACGTACACTTCGAGGAAATCGCGCAGACTATAGAACAACAGCTGAAGAAACTCACGAGACAATGTGCAGTACATCGACGAGCCCTGGCTCGTGCCATGACAGAACATAGAGTTGAAGAACTATGGGAAGCTTGGGAACGCCGTGATCTTGCGCAGGTGGGACGACTATCGAGACTGATAGCAGGAGGACGACACGGACCACGTAAGAGAGATTATTGGACAGCTACCACCACACAGCCTACACGTTCGGAATGGACTACGTTTTGGAAGAAACCAGGAGGAGACGGGGGCATGCTCGGCCATGAGATCGACCCCGAGAGAGTAGTAGAACTGGAATGTTACAGCGAACCCAAAACGTACAACGAGGTCAGCGAGACTAACCCGAAGGAGATCGAGTACCTGGCCAACAGTTTCCGACGTGCCAAACTACGACGTGCAGTACCACGCACATCTGTCCCGAGCGAGGTGTGGCGCATGATGCTTACACCACCTGCCGAGAAGAAACAGCCCCACGGCATCGGTTACGACGCGGAGATCGAGGACCCTTCAGACTTCAGAGACCTTCTCCAGCACGGCCTTTACATGGTAAGAATGCAGGACCGCGCCCCCGTACTTTGGCATCAGAGCGCGGCCACGGCAGTGAAGAAGAACAATAAACCAGGGCCGGCTGGAAAAAGAATATATCACATCCTTGACCCTCTGGGGAAAGCTTTTTATGCAACAGGATTGGCACGAAAGAAAGCACGAGAATTTACTGATCAAGATTACGGTTTTGTACGAGGACGACGACGTGAAGGAGCGATATTGACGGCAGCTATTATTGAATACAGAGTACGGCGCAGTGGCCGCACCTTTCTTACTTCCATGAAGGACATGAGCAATGCTTTTGCCAGCTGCAACTGGTTGTATATGGATGCGGCCAACTCGAGGATTTTACCAGAGCACATGTGGAATCTAGGAGAACAACGTTATCGGCGAGCATGTTTCCAGGTACCCTGTCGAGATGATGTGGCAGGTGTTACCATCCATCCAGGATGTGGAGGACTCATAGGCGACCCCTACATGGTGCAGAACTTCGTGGCCTCGTTCAGCCCGAAGATCAAGTTGTGGATCGAGGACTGCCAGACCCAGCTCACCTACGACCATCTGTTGTGGGGCCAGTTCTCGCTGTTTAATGAATTTGTTTACGTCGGCGTCACGAAGTACGCTGACGACTTGAGAAAGCTGCACCTTGGACCACACGAGTCCGACCCGCAGTGCCTCGCTCAGGAGGCGCGCCTGGCCGACGACCTGTTGGACGGAAGGCTGCGCCAGATAGGTCTACAGCAAAATCGAGGAAAACAGGAGAGTATCATTCACTTTCGAGGGTCAGGCGCCGCGAAGGCACATCAGGAAGTCAAGAAATGTGGGATCCCTGGGAAGCTCCTACCAGCAGCCAGATACTTGGGGCCCTTCGTTGACTCGCAGCAGAATTATTTGACAGAACTCAGCAAACGAATCTCCGCAATGCACAAATCGTACAAAGAGTTAGGAGCATTCTGGTATCGTTCGGGCATTCCGTATAAATGGAAAAGGGCTATGCTGATATGTCGTGTACTGAATACAGGCCTCAGCTGCGTCGAGTGTTTCCTCCCCTCCCAGGCCGAGTACGACAAACTGCATCGAGCTATGGGGTGCTTACTCAGACGGGCGATGAAGGGGGGGGCCACGAAGGTGTCAGAAACAGGCAAATACTCGGGAATGTCCACGGCGCAGGTGTTCAAGTTTTGGAAGGTCCCCCACCCAGAGCACGAAGCTAAAGTACGTAGACTGAGCTGGGCCAGATCGATACTCAGCAAGCCCCAGCATAACAAGCAGTTGCTGGTGGCAATGTTCGGGGCCCTGGACTTCGAGACGACGCCCACCTCGGACCCTGACCCCGCGATGACCGACTCTAGCAACCCGTGGGCCCGTAGGTTCGTGCAGGACTTTAGGGACGCGACCGAGTGCACAGAGAGCTTCCAGCAGGTTTTCGAGGATGAGGAGATCACCCCCCAGAGACTTTTTTCCAGCGAGATCCAGCAGCAGGTTTCACGACTGGATGTTCAGGAGTTTCGTCAAACTAAACTACGCTGTCAGATCCCACCGACGACGGAGACGATGGCGGGAAGGGATATCGAAATGGAGGAGGAGGCCTTGGAGGGTGTCAAGACTTGGAGGTGTGAGATCCTGCGGGAGGGCAAGGTTTGCGGGGCGAGTTTTTCGAGCCGAAAAGCACTGAGGAGCCATATCATTAAATGCCACCACATACACAACCTCGCTGCGATCCTGACGACGAATAATCAGTGTATTCATTGCAGACAAACATTCACATGCAGAAATACGGCCTGGCGACACCTGTCCCGATCGATGACGAGAGGCTTCTGCATGCAGGACCGTACGAGAAATCAACGCGCCCCATCGACCCTGGCCACGACTTGTCCGATCTGTAGCCATTTTGAACAAGACGCGGACCTTTTTTGTGAGCATCTCTTGACGCACCTACCTCGAGCTATCCAGAGGTATGAGCACGTTCGAGGAGAAGCCGCAGTGGGCGGGCAAGCGGGGGGCAGCGGTGACGGGCACACAACCAGAGAGGGAGAAGCAGCGCCGCAAGGAGGACGACTCCCAGGGCCGTTTGGTGCAACTGACAGCGAGGCTAGCCCTGGCGGTCGCGCGCGAACAGGCCGAGCTGGCGTCCGCTGTGGTCGAGACATGGGAGATGGACAGCGCGGCCCCGCTCGCCGTGCACGGCCTGCAGGCCGGGACGGACTACAACGCGGAGGCCCAGGAGCTCAAGAAGAAGGCGGAGAACGGCGAGGACGTCGACACCGGCTCCCTCGGCCCTCCGCATCTCGTGGTATGGCAGCGCGTGGTGCAGAAGCTCGGACAAGAGGCGACAGGAGAGGACAAAGAGACGCTGGCGAAGTACTACAAAGAGGTGGTCATGCAGACGGAGATCGACGCGCTGGGGTCGTCAGTCACGATCTTCCGCGCGAAGCGGAACAAGGGCAAGGCGGCGCAGGGCAAGGACAAGTGCAGGGTGCAGTTTTGCTTTCATCCAGAGTTTGTGAAGGTCAGGAACATCCTCGTGAAAGCCATCATGACCCAGGGTGGCAAGAGGAGGTACGGAGCAGCACCCCGCGGCGCCCTGGAGCGCGACATCAGCAGGCTCCTCAAGTGACTACATCGAAGGAGTTGAGAGGCGAGGCTTCAGGAGCTACAATGAGTTTTTTGGGCACAGCACACGCGTCCTGCAGTAAGCCGCCATGTACCGCTACATCTGCGCCTGCTACGATGAGTGCATCCTCGCAGGCTCCCTCGCGTGCAACCCAGCACGCACCTCAGGCAGTCTCTCTTCTGAGTGGGGGCTCTGTTTCTCTTTTTCTCCCGTCCCCCCAGCCTTCCTGACGAGTGAGCGTTTTAGGGAACTCAATAGGGCAGGCTTACTCCCGCCCCCACGCCCTCCTCCTAATGCAGTCCCAGATCTCACTTTCACTAGTGTGCTCCCGAATCAGTTCTTAGTCCACCGTCCCCCCGAGCCGAGGCCCGAAGGGAAGGGCGGGAGTCGGGGGCGGGGTAAGGGCAAGGGCAAGGGCAAGGGGCGAGGACGAGGTGGAAAATTTTGAGGCAGGTGCCACACCGCCCTTTGCCCTCTGCGTGAGGGCCCAAGGTGCGGTCGGGCCTGATCGCTTTCTGGCGACTGCAGGCTCTCTGCGAAGTGATAGTGTGCAATGTCATCTAGGCCAGATCTCGATTTCGACTACGACGCGAGGTAGAGTGCTCGAGTATTCGACGTCCGCAGGGATCCAAGGCAAGTTCAGTTCAGTTCAGTTCCTCCTCCTCCTCCTCCTCCTCCTCCCTATCCTCCTCCTCCCTCCTCCTCCTCCTCCTCCTCCTCCTCCTCCTCCTCCTCCTCCTCCTCCTCCCTCCTCCTCCTCCTCCTCCTCCTCCTCCTCCCTCCTCCCTCATCCTCCTCCTCCTCCTCCTCCTCCTCCTCCTCCCTCCTCCTCCTCCTCCTCCTCCTCCTCCTCCTCCTCCTCCTCCTCCTCCCCCTCCTCCTCCTCCTCCTTCTCCTCCTCCTCCTCCTCCTCCTCCTCCTCCTCCTCCTCCTCCTCCTCCTCCGTCTCCCTGATGTTCCCCATCTTCCTGCCCGTGTTCGACCAATCGCCTGCAATTGGCGACCTCACCGGTCGAAGACCGAGGTGCGAGTGGATGCTCCCATCTCTTTTCTCCCCCCTCCTCGCTCCCTTCTCTCACGCGTTCTTTTCTCCTCCTCCTTCTCCTCCTCCTCCTCCGTCTTTTCCCATTTCATGCCCCTTCACCCGCCCCTCCCCCTCCGCGTTTCAAGCGGG